GCTTGTTCTCCAGACCCTTGATCATTTTAGTCGCCCTCCTCTGGACACATTCCAGCTTGTCAATATCTCTCTTGAATTGTGGTGCCCAGAATTGGACACAATATTCCAGGTGTGGTCTAACCAAGGCGGAATAGAGGGGTAGCATGACTTCCCTGGATCTAGAGTTTTGGAGTTGGTTGCCATCTCTATGCAGATGACACACAACTCTACTACTCTTTTCCACCAAATTCCAAGGAAGCCCCTCGGGTGCTGGACGAGTGTCAGGCTAAACAAGCCCAGCTCTTTAAGCCGCTCCTCATAGGGCTTGTTCTCCAGACCCTTGATCGTTTTAGTCGCCCTCCTCTGGACACATTCCAGCTTGTCAATATCTCTCTTCAAATGTGGTGCCCAGAATGGGACACAATATTCCAGGTGTGGTCTAACCAAGGCGGAATAGAGAGGTAGCATTACTTCCCTAGATCTAGAGTTTTGGACCACAGAACAACAGACTGGTTCAAGATTGGGAAAGGCGTACGGCAAGGCTGCATACTCTCACCCAACCTTTTTAACTTGTATGCAGAACACATCATGCAATGTGCGGGGCTTGATGAATGCAAAGCTGGGGTGAAAATTGCTGGAAGAAACATTAACAACCTCAGATATGCAGATGACACCACTCTGATGGCCGAAAGGCGAGGAGGAGCTGAGGAGCCTTCTAATCAAGGTGAAAGAAGAAAGCGCAAAAGCCGGGTTGCAGCTAAACGTCAAAAAAACCAAGATTATGGCAACAAGAATGATTGACAACTGGAAAATAGAGGGAGAAAACGTGGAGGCCGTGACAGACTTTGTATTTCTAGGTGCAAAGATTACTGCAGATGCAGACTGTGGCCAAGAAATCAGAAGACGCTTACTTCTTGGGAGGAGAGCAATGTCCAATCTCGATAAAATAGTAAAGAGTAGAGACATCAGACTGGCAACAAAGATCCGCCTAGTCAAAGCCATGGTATGCCCTGTAGTAACCTACGGATGTGAGAGCTGGACCTTAGGGAAGGCTGAGCGAAGGAAGATCGATGCTTTTGAGCTGTGGTGTTGGAGGAAAGTTCTGAGAGTGCCTTGGACTGCGAGAAGATCCAACCAGTCCATCCTCCAGGAAATAAAGCCCGACTGCTCACTGGAGGGAAGGATACTAGAGACAAAGTTGAAGTACTTTGGCCACATTATGAGGAGACAGCAAAGCCTAGAGAAGACAATTATGCTGGGGAAAGTGGAAGGCAAAAGGAAGAGGGGCCGACCAAGGGCAAGATGGATGGATGGCATCCTTGAAGTGACTGGACTGACCTTGAAGGAACTGGGGGTGGTGACGGCCGACAGGGAGCTCTGGCGTGGGCTGGTCCATGAGGTCACGAAGAGTCGGAGACGACTGAACGAATGAACGAACAAACTTACACAGTTTGTTATACAGTAGAGTCTCAACAACTCTACTACTCTTTTCCACCAAATTCCAAGGAAGCCCCTCGGGTGCTGGACGAGTGTCAGGCTAAACAAGCACAGGTCTTTAACCTGCTCCTCATAGGGCTTGTTCTCCACACCCTTGATCATTTTAGTCGCCCTCCTCTGGACACATTCCAGCTTGTCAATATCTCTCTTCAAATGTGCTGCCCAGAATGGGACACAATATTCCAGGTATGGTCTAACCAAAGCCGAATAGAGGGGTAGCATGACTTCCCTGGATCTAGAGTTTTGGAGTTGGTTGCCATCTCTATGCAGATGACACACAACTCTACTACTCTTTTCCACCAAATTCCAAGGAAGCCCCTCGGGTGCTGGACGAGTGTCAGGCTAAACAAGCCCAGCTCTTTAAGCCGCTCCTCATAGGGCTTGTTCTCCAGACCCTTGATCATTTTAGTCGCCCTCCTCTGGACACATTCCAGCTTGTCATCTTCTTCAATTGTGGTGCCCAGAATGGGACACAATATTCCAGGTGTGGTCTGACCAAGGCGGAATAGAGGGGTAGCATGACTTCCCTGGATCTAGAGTTTTGGAGTTGGTTCCCATCTCTATGCAGATGACACACAACTCTACTACTCTTTTCCATCAAATTCCAAGGAATCCCCTCGGGTGCTGGACGAGTGTCAGGGTAAACAAGCTCAGCTCTTTAAGCCGCTCCTCATGGGGCTTGTTCTCCAGACCCTTGATCATTTTAGTCGCCCTCCTCTGGACACATTCCAGCTTGTCAATATCTCTCTTGAATTGTGGTGCCCAGAACTGGACACAATATTCCAGGTGTGGTCTAACCAAAGCAGAATAGAGGGGTAGCATGACTTCCCTAGATCTATTTATTTATTTCCCTTATTTCGCCTTCCCTTCTGTCCTTCCGAAAGAGCCTGAAGACCTGGCTATTTGAGAAGGCATTCAACTGAGCGCTACGGCAACTGGTAATTGACAACTGGAACGGAATACGGATTACGATATTGGTTATGATTCTATGATGTGACGGAGCGGATTATTTAGTGTAACTAGATTATAGTGTATTATTGTTGTATTGATTCCATGTTTTGCCCTTTTTGTAAACTGTTTTTATATGTTGTGCACCGCCGCGAGTCGCCCTAGGGCTGAGAGAGGCAGTCAATAAATGCAGTAAATAAATCAAATATTTATTTATTTATACTCTTGTATACCGCTAATATCTCAGCCTAAGTCGGCAACTCATTGCAGTTTACAACAATTAAAAAACAATATTCAATTTAAAAGCATAAAACACATATACAATACAAGTTATTGGGCCACCAATAACAATCCCATGCATCTTGTAACTGAAATCGCAATCCAAAATTCGTCGTCCATGATTACCCATCCTTTAGTCATCAAAATTCGTTGCAACGGATTAACCCTCCTATTGATGCAGGCCAAAATCAAGTGCTCTGCTATGGCTGATTTCTCTGGTTGAAGTAGTCTGCAGTGCCTTTCATGTTCCTTGATTCGTGTTTGGGCGATGCTGCGTTTGGTAGCATGACTTCCCTGGATCTAGAGTTTTGGAGTTGGTTGCCATCTCTATGCAGATGACACACAACTCTACTACTCTTTTCCACCAAATTCCAAGGAAGCCCCTCGGGTGCTGGACGAGTGTCAGGCTAAACAAGCCCAGCTCTTTAAGCCGCTCCTCATAGGGCTTGTTCTCCAGACCCTTGATCATTTTAGTCGCCCTCCTCTGGACACATTCCAGCTTGTCAATATCTCTCTTCAATTGTGGTGCCCAGAATTGGACACAATATTCCAGGTGTGGTCTAACCAAAGCGGAATAGAGGGGTAGCATTACTTCCCTAGATCTAGACACTTCTCGGACCACGGAACAACAGACTGGTTCAAGATTGGGAAAGGCGTACGGCAAGGCTGCATCCTCTCACCCAACCTTTTTAACTTGTATGCAGAACACATCATGCGATGTGCGGGGCTGGATGAATGCAAAGATGGGGTGAAAATTGCTGGAAGAAACATTAACAACCTCAGATATGCAGATGACACCACTCTGATGGCCGAAAGCGAGGAGGAGCTGAGGAGCCTTCTAATCAAGGTGAAAGAAGAAAGCGCAAAAGCTGGGTTGCAGCTAAACATCAAAAAAACAAAGATTATGGCAACAAGAATGATTGACAACTAGGAAATAGAGGGAGAAAATGTGGAGGCCGTGACAGACTTTGTATTTCTAGGTACAAAGATTACTGCAGATGCAGACTGTGGCCAGGAAATCAGAAGACGCTTACTTCTTGGGAGGAGAGCAATGTCCAATCTCGATAAAATAGTAAAGAGTAGAGACATCAGACTGGCAACAAAGATCCGCCTAGTCAAAGCCATGGTATTCCCTGTAGTAACCTACAGATGTGAGAGCTGGACCTTAGGGAAGGCTGAGCGAAGGAAGATCGATGCTTTTGAGCTGTGGTGTTGGAGGAAAGTTATGAGAGTGCCTTGGACTGCGAGAAGATCCAACCAGTCCATCCTCCAGGAAATAAAGCCCGACTGCTCATTGGAGGGAAGGATACTAGAGACAAAGTTGAAGTACTTTGGCCACATCATGAGGAGACAGCAAAGCCTAGAGAAGACAATGATGCTGGGGAAAGTGGAAGGCAAAAGGAAGAGGGGCCGACCAAGGGCAAGATGGATGGATGGCATCCTTGAAGTGACTGGACTGACCTTGAAGGAGCTGGGGGTGGTGACGGCCGACAGGGAGCTCTGGCGTGGGCTGGTCCATGAGGTCACGAAGAGTCGGAGACGACTGAACGAATGAACAACAAAAAGATGGGGAAAGTGCAGATCTCTATGCAGATGACACACAACTCTACTACTCTTTTCCACCAAATTCCAAGGAAGCCCCTCGGGTGCTGGACGAGTGTCAGGCTAAACAAGCCCAGCTCTTTAAGCCGCTCCTCATAGGGCTTGTTCTCCAGACCCTTGATCATTTTAGTCACCCTCCTCTGGACACATTCCAGCTTGTCAATATCTCTCTTCAAATGTGGTGCCCAGAATTGGACACAATATTCCAGGTGTGGTCTAACCAAGGCAGAATAGAGGGGTAGCATGACTTCCCTAGATCTAGAGTTTTGGAGTTGGTTGCCATCTCTATGCAGATGACACACAACTCTACTACTCTTTTCCACCAAATTCCAAGGAAGCCCCTCGGGTGCTGGACGAGTGTCAGGCTAAACAAGCCCAGCTCCTTAAGCCGCTCCTCATAGGGCTTGTTCTCCAGACCCTTGATCATTTTAGTCGCCCTCCTCTGGACACATTACAGCTTGTCTTCAAATGTGGTGCCCAGAATTGGACACAATATTCCAGGTGTGGTCTAACCAGAGCAGAATAGAGGGATAGCATGACTTCCCTGGATCTAGATTGATGCAGGCCAAAATCCCATTGGCTTTTTTGGCCGCCACATCCCATCAATTCCGCAGAGGAAGCATCCAACCCCCAACCAACCTTGGTCTTGGAGAAAAGGGGGAAAGCCAAGCCAGGCGAGAAGGGAGCCACCTTACCCAGGAGGAGCAGCTTGACTTCCCGCGCCGCCTTCTCGCCGTCCTCCCGCAGGTTCCTGTCGATCATTTTGCTCCGCTCCACCGCCGCCTTGTCCTCGGCGCTCAGCGTGCAGCCCATGGTCCAAATACAAACACCAAGAGGGCCCCCTTTCGAAACCAACAAAGCAGCTGAAGTCCTTGGAGGGGAGGCGAGGGGAGGGGGGTGCTCAAAAGTGCCCAGTGACTGAGTCAGAGAAGCCAAACGGGGGAAAGTGAGGGAGAGGGGGGCGCCGTCTCCTTCCTTCGGTTTCCCTCACACACGACGTTGTTGTTGTTTTGGGGTGTTGCGGGGAGGGAAACCCTCCTCCCCTCACGCGCAGCACCAGCAGTGCCGCCGCTACCTCACGCGCCAGTCCGCCCGCGAGCGCGAGCGCCGAGCCTCCCTCGAGAGAGAGCGCGCGCCCGTGCCAGAGGGAGAAAGTGAAGAGCGACGGTTAGGCGTGCACTGCGCATGTGCGAAGAGGGGGGTGGGGGATGCCTGGACCTCTGCCACTTTTGGGAGTGGAATCGACAACAGAGAGGCAGAGGGGAGCGCTCCTAGAGCGGTGGGCTTTGGACTAATTTTTTACTCCTTCACTGTAGTTTGAATCAAGGAGCCTAGAATCATCCTACATCATATCCTTTAACTTGGAATATATGATTTCCCACTTCCAGATAACCTAGGATAAACAGATAATCTGGGTTCAGATCCTGGGGTACAGGGGCAGTTTGGAATCATAGTATCATAGAATCAAAGAGTTGGAAGAGACCTCATGGGCCATCCAGTCCAACCCCCTGCCAAGAAGCAGGAATATTGCATTCAAATCACCCCTGACAGATGGCCATCCAGCCTCTGTTTAAAAGCTCCAAAGAAGGAGCCTCCACCACACTCCGGGGCAGAGAGTTCCACTGCTGAACGGCTCTCACAGTCAGGAAGTTCTTCCTCATGTTCAGATGGAATCTCCTCTCTTGTAGTTTGAAGCCATTGTTCCGCGTCCTAGTCTCCAAGGAAGCAGAAAACAAGCTTGCTCCCTCCTCCCTGTGACTTCCTCTCACATATTTATACATGGCTATCATATCTCCTCTCAGCCTTCTCTTCTTCAGGCTAAACATGCCCAGTTCCCTAAGCCGCTCCTCATAGGGCTTGTTCTCCAGACCCTTGATCATTTTAGTCGCCCTCCTCTGGACACATTCCAGCTTGTCATTATCTCTCTTGAATTGTGGTGCCCAGAATTGGACATAATATTCCAGGTATGGTCTAACCAAAGCAGAATAGAGGGGTAGCATTACTTCCCTAGATCTAGACACTATGCTCCTATTGATGCAGGCCAAAATCCCATTGGCTTTTTTTGCCGCCACATCACATTGTTGGCTCATGTTTAACTTGTTGTCCACGAGGACTCCAAGATCTTTTTCACACATACTGCTCTCGAGCCAGGCGTCACCCATTCTGTATCTTTGCATTTCATTTTTTCTGCCAAAGTGGAGTATCTTGCATTTGTCACTGTTGAACTTCATTTTGTTAGTTTTGGCCCATCTCTCTAATCTGTCAAGATCGTTTTGAATTCTGCTCCTGTCCTCTGGACTATTGGCTATCCCACCCAAAGACTTCTATTACACCACCACCAATGACAACAACAACAACTAGAATTAATGGCTTCAAACTACAAGAGAGGAGATTCCATCTGAACATGAGGAAGAACCTCCTGACTGTGAGAGCCATTCATCAATGGAACTCTCTGCCCCGGAGTGTGGTGGAGGCTCCTTCTTTGGAGCCTTTTAAGCAGAGGCTGGATGGCCATCTGTCAGGGGTGATTTGAATGCAATATTCCTGCTTCTTGGCAGGGGGTTGGACTGGATGGCCCATGAGGTATCTTCCAACTTTTTGATTCTATGATTCTATCATCATCTTCTTTCTTCTATAGAAATAAAAATGTAATGTTCGTTTGTGGGATTAACAGAACCCAAAAACCACTGGACGAATTGGCACCAAATTTGGACACGATACACCTAACAACCCAATGTATTGATTTTGTCATTTGGGAGTTGTAATTGCTGGGATTTATAGTTCACCTACAATCAAAGACCATTCTGAACCCCACCAACGATAGACTTGAACCAAACTTGGCACACAAAACTCCCATGACCAACGGAAAATACTGGAAGGGTTTGGTGGACAGTGTTCTTTGGTTTTAGAGTTGTAGTTCACCTACATCCAGATACCACTGTGGACTCAAACAATAGATCTATAGATCTATATAAACAAATGTAATGTTAGTTTGTTCTATCATCATAACTCACAAACCACTGGGGGAATTGACACCAAATTTGGACACAAGACACCTAACAGTCCAATTTATGTCCTCCACCCAAAAAAATTGATTTTGTCACTTGGGAATTGTCGTTCCTGGGATTTATAGTTTACCTACACTCAAAGAGCATTCTGAACTCAACCAATGATGGAATTGAACCAAAGGTGACACACAGGACTCCCATGACCAACAGAAAAGACAAGAAGGGTTTGCTGGGCATTGACCTTGAGTTTGGGAGTTGTAGTTCACCTACATCTACAGAGCACTGTGGACTCAAACAATGATGGATCTGGACCAAACTTGGCACAAATATTCCATATGCCCAAATATGAACACAGATGGAATTTGGAGGAAATAGACCTTGACATTTGGGATTTGTACTTGCTGGGATTTATAGTTCACCTACAATCAAAGAGCATTCTGAACTCCACCAATGATTGAATTGAACCAAAGGTGACACACAGGACTCCCATGACCAACAGAAAACCCTAGAAGGGTTTGGTGGGCATTGATGTTGAGTTTGGGAGTTGTAGTTCACTTACATCCAGAGAGCACTGTGGACTCAAACAATGATGGATCTGGACCAAACTTGACAGGAATACTCAATATGCCCAAATGTGAACACAGATGGGAGTTTGGGGGAAATAGACCTTGACATTTGGGAGTTGTAGTTACTGGGATTTATAGTTCACCTACAATCAAAGAGCATTCTGAACCTCACAAACGACAGAATTGGGGCAAACTTCCCACACAGAACCCCCATGACCAATAGAAAATACTTAAGGCCATTCAGTCCAACTCCCTTCACCAGGGCAAGAAAACATAATCAAAGCCCTCCTGACAAAGAGCCATCCCATAAATATAGATAGATCAATATGATTCACGCACACGGAGATATAGTATCAGATTTGAAAGGGACCCCTAAAGAAGGACAATTTCCATCTTGCATGTTCCAGAGTAGGCAAACCAGACACTCTCCACATCAACACTGACAAACAGCAAGAAGTGCTGTTTACCCACAAGCATAAAGAAATTGTATATTAGAAACCAACACTCTCATTACTTTATTTTCCAGATCACCAGACTGGGCCACATCAACGCCTGGCAGGAGACGGCTAGTATATAAATAAAAATGTAATGTTCGTTTGTGGGATTAACAGAACTCAAAAACCACTGGACGAATTGACACCAAATTTGGACACAAGACACCTAACAACCCAATGTATGTCCTTCACTAAAAAATGATTTTGTCCTTTGGGAGTTGTAGTTTCTGGGATTTATAGTTCATCTACAATCAAAGAGCATTCTGAACCCCACCAACGATGGAATTGAACCAAACTTGGCACACTTCCCATGACCAACAGAAAACACTAGAAGGGTTTGGTGGGCATTGACCTTGAGTTTGGGAGTTGTAGTTCACCTACATCCAGATACCACTGTGGACTCAAACAATAATGGATTTGGACCAAACTTGGCATGAATATTCCATATGCACAAATATGAACTCAGATGGAGTGTGGGGAAAACCTTGATATTAGGGATTTATAGTTCACCTACAATCAAAGCGCATTCTGAACTCCACAAACGACAGAATGGGGGTAAATTTCCCACACAGAACCCTCATGACCAATAGAAAATACTGTGTTTGCTGGTGGTCTTTGGTGACCCTTCTGACACCCCCTCGCAACCCCTCCCCCAGGGGTCACAAACCCCAGGTTGAGAAATGCTGCCTTAAGGCCACCCAGTCCAAACCCCTTTACCAGGGCAAGAAAACATAAAGCCCTCCTGACAAAGAGCCATCCAGTGATAGATGTAGATAAATATATATGATTCACACACACACACACACACACACACACATGTTTATGACAGATATAGTATCACCTCCCCGGTGACCCCCTCCCCCTGGGGTCTTGACTTCCCAGGTTGAGAAATGCTGCCTTAAGGCCATTCAGTCCAACTCCTTTCACCAGGGCAAGAAAACATAATCAAAGCCCTCCTGACAAAGGGCCATCCAGCCATTCACACACACACACACACATATATGTATATGACAGATGCAGTATCAAAGATTTGAAAGGGACCCCTAAAGAAGGACAATGATATGTGGCATGTTCCAGAGTAGGCAAACCAGACAATCTCCACATCAACACTGACAAAGAAACAGCAAGAAATACTGTTTACCCACAAGCAGAAAGACATTACATATATTAGAAATCAACACTTTCTCAGTACTTTATTTTTCAGATCACTAGACTGGGCCACAGCAACGCGTGGCAGGGGACGGCTAGTATATAAATAAAAATGTAATGTTCGTTTGTGGGATTAACAGAACTCAAAAACCACTGGACGAATTGACACCAAATTAGGACACAAGACACCTAACAACCCAATGTATGTCCTTCACTCAAACAATTGGGAGTTGTAGTTGCTGGAATTTAAAGTTCACATACAATCAAAGACCATTCTGAACCCCACCAACGATGGAATTGAACCAAACTTGGCACACAAAACTCCCGTGACCAATGGAAAATACTGGAAGAGTTTGGTGGGCAGTGTTCTTTGGTTTTAGAGTTGTAGTTCACCTACATCCAGAGTTCACTGTGGACTCAAACAATGATGGATCTGGACCAAACTTGGCACAAGCACTCAATACGCCCAAATATGAACACAGATGGAATTTGGGGGAAATAGACCTTGACATTTGGGAGTTGTAGTTGCTGGGATTTATAGTTCACCTACAATCACAGAGCATTCTGAACCCACCAACGATAGAATTGGGCCAAACCTCCCACACAGAACCCCCATGTGGGCCACAGCAACAAAATAAATATATTATATTATCAGCTTAGTACACTATCAATATTATATATTACTATATTGTACTATACCATTATATTGTAATATTATTCGTAATATTGCATGTAATATAAAATATATAATTATAATATATTATTAGTAGTATTATATTGTATTATATTATAATATTATAAATATTATATGTATATATAATATATTATATTACATCTATATAAATAAATATGTGATGTTCGTTTGTGGGACTAACATAACTCAAAAACCACTGGATGAATTGACA